TTAATACCTGTTTTGTAAACCAAAATAATATATATCTAATCTGAACTACATATAATGAATAGTTGCAGGGTTGTTTATTAAAACTTATATATCACTAATAAAAGAATTAATTTTTATTTCCTTTATTTTGTTCGGAAGTTGGACCATATCATAAAAAAGTAGGAAATTTTAATATTGAATGCATTGTTCTCTTCTCTCTTCACAAAGCAAGATGGAAAGGGTGAAGCTAACCCTTCTTCCAGTTAACTGGAACTGATTGTTAGTATTTGGTCTCAAGATTAGGGAAAATGCGAAATTGAACGCAAAAATTGGGAAATACATCCAACGAACGAGAAAGGAAGTGCCAAAATCTCGGAAAAGAAAATATGGATCAGTATCCATTATATGGCAAAACGAATATATAGTAGTCAGATGAACAGAATATTTCAAGATGCTGCTTAAAGGGGGTCAAATGTTGCAGCAGTTTGGATGATATTAAGAGGACAATGCAGGTTTATTATGGTGAAGACTATTTTATCAGCAAGAAAGATTTGTTCAAAGTAATTGGCAATTCAGCAGGTCTGGAAAGAGTAAATCGAACTGCTGCACATACGTAGGCAACAAATGTAATGATATATTTCTTTACTTTTTCAATGTATATTAAATAATATGCCATCAGAAAATGACGTGAAAGGACTGCAGTTGTGTCCCTTTACAAGAAAGGAGATACTAGGCAATGTAAGTAATACCCATCGAGATTCATTCCTGTTTAGTGTACCAAAGAAACTCTACTCAATAATCATTGAAACTGGAATAAGAAATATTGACGATTGCCAGATCGATATGGATTGAGAAATTCATGTTGCACATTGGAACTGTCTTCACTTTAAAGCAAATTATAGAGAAGTCGATCAAGAAAGGAAAATGCTTGATGCTTGAAAAATTTAATGAATATAATATAGATCTTCATCATCTTTTCATTGATTTTAAACAGGCTTACGACAGTGTCAATAGAAGCGAATTGTTGAATGTAATGGTAACTTTAGGTGTACTGAAAAAGCTAGCTAGACTAACTAGGATGACACTGACTGATAGTTGCTGTAAGGTACCAAGAACATTATCGGAAAAGTTTGCAGTTCTGAACGCGGCCTAAGCCAGGGAGATCCCTTGTCCCCAGCTCTCTTCAACCTAGCCTTTGAATTTGTAGTACCTGCTATCCAAGCAAGCCTTAATGGCATGATATATAATAGGCTGTCACAACAACTAGCCTATGCAGACGATGTAATATCGGCTAGATCAAGAGCATTTTTATTGGGGGCGTTTAAGGACTTCAAAAAGGTTGGGCCTCCATGTAAACGATGAAAAAACAGTTTATATGAAGTCATCAAGAAACCCACCAGAAAGAATAAAAGAAATTATCATATTTGGAAGCCACACCTTCAGGATAGCAAACCAGTGTAGGTGTTTGGGTGCTCTTGTCACATCAAAGAATGAATACCAAGAAGAAATTAAGGCAAGAATAACTGCTGGAAACAGGTGTATCACGCTCTTCAAAAGCCCTTAAAATTCAGAGGCCTGACCAACAGAGCTAAGGTGATCTTATATAAAACTGTCTAGGCCGGTTCTGTCTTATGGCTGTTAGACTGAGTATTTTCCAAAGAAAGTGAAAGAATGTTAAAAGTTTGGAAAAGGAAAGTACTCAGAAAAATATATGGACCTGTCTGTGAGAACGGCAACTGGAGAATAAGAAAGAATGAGGAGCTGAAAGAAATGGTCCAAGAACCATATCTGGTTTTCTTTGTTAGAAAGAATTAGTTGAGGTGGCTGGGATATGTAGAGCGGATGTCGGCGAGTAGGATACCAAAAAAATTTCTGGATGGTAAGCCTGGAGTTAGGGGACGTCCATGATTAAGATGGCCAGATGACATAGAGAGAGTATTGAGAGAGATGGGAATCGGAGGATGGAGGAGACTCACCATGGATAGGGAAGAGTGGAGGAGGACTATAGAGGAGGCCCTGGCACTTGTAAGGCTGTAGCGTCATGGAATAAGTAAGTAAGGCGCCGAAGAGTCTTCTATGAACAGGGGATGGGTACACTGCGTATTTATGCTTCCTTTAATGCAGTCTAGAAGTGGGAGTGTGATGGTATAGGCCACCATCTAATCAGGAGGACGGACTTTACTGTATATTGTGAGAGATAATCTCATTGAAGTTCGTTATGTTCAAGAAATTATAGAGGAGTACATTCCTCAAACCAGTGTCATAATTGCCATAGATTTTTATTTTCTTGACTACAATACGCAACTTCATAGGGGAAATGTTCATCAATGTCTTGAAAATCTGGAATTTTCACATCTGTCCCTTCCTGTATAGCCTCCAAATCTCAATCCCATTGGACACATGTGGGATAAGACTTTTTAGAGAAGACTTTTTCACCACCGTCTGCAGCTTCTTAACCTCCAGCAACTGTGTATTAGTATTATCATGTTTATGATTGGTAATTGGTTGACTGTCATGGATAATGAAGAGAAGAATAGTTGGGGTGCTCAGTCAAAAAGGAAGGCAAAAATAAATTATAATATTTATTTTTTACAAATGCCGACGTTTCGACCTGAAGTTCAGGCCTTCATCAGGGCTAAGAAAATAACCAGATAACAAGGTATGAGAAAATAAAATAAAAAAAAAATTATTAGAAAAATAAAATAAATAGATATAAAGTAAAATGAAATTGTTAGAATAATGATTAAGAACTAAGAGATAAATAATAAAAACTGTTACATAGTGTGGAATGATGAAGTAGGCATAATCAAAAAGGGGTGACAAAAGTGTTACATTGGGAATCTTAGAATAAAATGTGAAAACATAAAAAAGAAATATAAAGTTATATAAGAAATGAAAATAAAATAAATAGTAAAATTAAAACATTGAGAATGGAGTAGTTAGATAGAAAATTGAGATATTGTAAAGTCTATCAAGATGTACAGACAATGTATAATATAATAAAGAGTTAAAAACAGAGAAAAGGAATGAATCCCTCCTTCCTTTCATTAAAATAAATGGGCAAAAATTAAAATAATTTATATATTTTAATTTTTTTTATTTATTTGACCGCACCCTCGACTAACTCCTTCCCGAAATTAGAAACAGTATGCCCAATAGATGCAGAGAGGTAATGCATCATGGAGGATATTACACAAATTATTAAATATTACAAAATTCTTACAATTTGCAATCGTAAAAACAAGATCACCTAAACTTTTAATTTTATTATTTTTTTGTAAAACACTGTTTATAAAATTTTCTGAGTTCAAATACAATCTTATTTTTATTAATTTTTGATATAATTTTTGATAAAATAAAAATCCTAGGAAAAATAAGTCATAGATAACTATCAATATCCCTATTTATTTTTAAACAGTTGGTGTGTGTGGTTTGGGGGTCACTGACTCTCACAGGTTTTACCCATGCACACTTTACTAGGATTAGTTATTTGTTTGGTATCCCCTGCTGTTTCTAAATAATATTGAATTGGTGAATAGCATTTGAAACCATTTGAAATCAACATATGCAAAGGCTCTAAGTTAAGGGAGAGACTCTTGTGGCTGAGAAGAGGCAAGCAGGATATAATGAAGGTGGAGAATATATAATCAAGCTAAATTTTGTCAACTTGTATTTTTCTTTTAATGTTTTGATTTATTTTACATTATAATGGTGTGTTAATAAGTGACAGACAGTTTTTCTATAGAAATTATTTGATAAACTGTTGACAAGTCAGGAGTGAATATTGTATATAACTATTAAATGAATATGATAATTAATGTAGCATATTCATTTTATTGTATAACATCAAAATGCAGCATAATTTTACCTTTTCCAACAGTGAATCGTTTGATAGTAAAGTAAAAATTAATAATAGTAAAATATTAAAATCAATCCATCTTATTTTGGTAATAATAAAATAAAATTAAATGAAAATATCTTTATTATTCTGAGGCCAGAGTCCCTTTAGAACAAAGTATAAATTCAGAATATAAATAAAAATATTATATTAGTGTGTCCTTAACTTAAATTAAATAAAAGTGTAGGAGATAAAGAGCAACCTTGAGGTATGCCTCTGGACAGAAGTACAGAACTAGAGAGGGTTTTATTGGTGGACAACAGCATATTGGGAACAATTAGTGAGGAAGGATCAGAATGCAGATGGAATAATAGGATGGTTTTCCAAGAAGTAGGGAAGGTGGTGTTGTAGCTATGATAGAGGATTGAAAGATTTGTAGGAAGTGAGGCTTTGAATAGGATTAAGGTGATCATGGGGGTGGAGTTAATAAGATGATATAGCAACAAAAAAAAATGGTTGGGGTTAAACAGGGGTAGTAGTAAGTGTTAGGGATGGGAAAGAGAAAGGACAGGAGACAATGTGAGTGTTGAGGTCATCAGAGAAATGGAAGTAAACTGGGTTTGAGGAGATTTGAAAAGAATTGCCCAGTTGGGTTTGTAATTAAAGTGCTGGGTAGGGATTGATGGAAATGAAGGGATTTGGCTGGATGTACTGAGGATTTAGTGCTGTTTAGGAGACATTTAAAGGTGACATAATCATTTGGGAGATGTATGTAATTAATCCTTCCCCATTATCAAATACACTTGCAGTGGGAGAGTCAACCAGGGAGCAGGTGGTTGTCGGCATGAGGGTTGAGTTAGCCTACCATTATAATTAAAAGTAGGTCAAAATTTTCATTGTATGTACTTTTATGAACTCCTGCTTTTAAGCTGATGGGTGATCTACTATCTGATGTATATTTTACTTCTTGATGTATGCTTTAGTTTCATGATAAAGTATTACCATTGATACCATGTTAGTAATGTTACTTTTGTTAATAAATGTTTGCTGCCCTAAATGTAATAAAAATATATCTTTGTAATCAGTTTAATTTACATTGATAACTGTGTATATTACATTATTTCCTCTTCCTATCAACTCAATATTCCTTAACTTTATTATACTGGTGATTTTTGTTTTTCAGTTCGCATACGACGACAAGTTCATGCCTTTTTAAATTTAACTCTTGATAGACCTTATTTTCGAAGAGCTAATAGTTTAATATTGATTCCTGCAAATCATATAACATGTCCTTTAATGAATGTTCATCTTGGAGTAAAGCCGTCAGGAAGTGAGTTTGACCATGTTTTAATGATGAATATATATTTTTATTACATACTTTAATTTATTCGTTATTGGTATAACTCTTGTAAAAAATGTTTTATATATTCAATTATTTTAATATATAGTTATTTATTACATAATTATTTGATTTATACTATTTCCTATTTCTATATTTTATCTATCTGCATTTATCATTTAATGAAACTAAACAGTGTCAATAATTTTGAATTTTCCAATATTAAATTGGAACATTTCCAAATATTAAGCTCATTAATTAAAAAAAGAAATATATGTTGTACTTTTTCTTTCTTTATATACTTATTGTTGCTAAATGTTGAGTAATGCTTGGTTTGAATCTGCTAATCTAAAGAGTGATTAGCTCTGTACTTGATGTTTACTAATCAGGAATATGGAGATCTGTTTTTCCATGGGTCTTAAGTTTTTAATTATTCAGACTCCTAGGTGAGAATATCCTCTTACATGTTGGATATCCACTTAGGTCAGAGAAAGCAAACCCATTTAGCATGACACACATTGCAGGAATCATCGATGGAAATAATAAATCCCTTAATACAAAGTTCATGTTTTTGCTCTCTTATACCATTTGATTATCAGGTTTTTATTGTATTTTATCCAAATCCATTTAAAATATGAATATAATTTTTTTTTTATTATCGCTATAAAAGTTAAAAAAATATGTTTATGTGAAACAAGGCACCGGAGCTAATTTAAAATTTTGGCATGCCGAGGTCAAAAGGTTTGCCATCACTGAAGTTGGAGGATCCCCTATCTACAACCAAGGGATGCATTCTCTATGTTCAGACTACAGTGATAAGATAGTATTTTAAACTATAAAAAAAAATTGTTGTCACTTGTGAACCTCTAAATAAACTAAATCATAAAGTAGTTTTATTGAATATTTAATAGTTGACCGTATCATTATAAAGGAAGGAGATGGTCCGGGGTGGCGGTCATAAATTGGCTGAATAGTGGCAAAATTATTTTATTAAAAGTCAACATTTCGACCACCCCGGACTAGCTCCTTCCTTTTTAAAGTACTTTTAATACTTCAAGAATTCATTAATTTTATATGCTATATTTTAAATAAATATACCTTAAATTTTTGTATCATTATACTATTACATCTAGAAGGTTTTAAGCAAGTGGAATTGCTCAAAATTTAGCTTTTTATTTTAATCTTCTTATTTTGGTCAAAGTCATAATTATGATTACCATTGATGATAAATATTCAGGACGCAGTCATTATAAAGTTTTTATTGGTACCGACATTGGAACCCAAATATGTAGATCATCTTCAGTGCTCGAAACACGCCCTGATGACCCACATGTTTGGGTTGAAACGTCTGCACCAATAAAAACTTTATAATGACCGCGTCCTGAATATTTATCATCCATGCTATGTAGAACAGTTGATAAACTTCCTTCAATAATTATGATTACCATATTAATTTTGTTTTATTTTCTCAGTTCGCAGTGACCGTAGCAAATCATCACTTGTAAAAGGTGCCTATTATTATTTTCATTACATGATGGGTGGCATTAATGACAGTGGCTGGGGTTGTGCCTACAGGTCTTTTCAAACCCTTTTTTCATGGTTTAAGTAAGCAATAATTTTTTGAAGCATGTTTACAGTTTTTTGATTTGTAAAATATTTTAAAAATAAAATTTCTTTTTAATTCATGTTTCGGTCTAATTATTATCGCTGTTGATAAAATAAAATTTTATACCATCATCAATGACCACCATTACATAAATTTTAAAATAATTTGTTAGATCGAGGTTGTTATGCAGGTTAAGAGGTAATATCATCATTTTACTTTTGAAGTCTGATAATCTGTCTCACTGAGCTTGTTTTATATAAATGTTAGGAAATTTATCACAATTCACAATTATTTAAGCTTATAACCTCCCAAGAAACACTAAATATCAATTATGTTGATTAATTACACACACACATATATATATATATATATAAATTCAAACTTCACTATTTTATTGGGAAATAATTCACTATTTTATATATATATATATATATATAAAATATAATATAATATAATATAATATAATAGAATAGAAAATAATTTTATTCTGGGTCAAAGTCCCTTTAGAATAACAAAAAAGTACAAATATTAGTAATATTTTTATAAAAGTATTTTTATTTTTTTTTATTTATTAAATATTAATACATTCTGCCACATTAAAGGACATTAATATTAAGGCTACATTAAGCATTCATACAATATGTACATACAAATAATAACTAAGATAGAAATAATAAAGAAAAAGAAATATAGAAAAATAAAATAAGTAAATTAATATGTCTGTGTAAAAAAAATGAAATAATAGATAAAAGATAAATGAAATTAAAGTAAATAAAACACATTCACACCTATATACAATATTTAAATTCACCTAAGGGACTCTGAGTCATGCTTTGTCCCCCAATCCTCCAATGTGGAAGCCAAGGCAGGACTCCAGGAGATCCCAGTGCTTCTCTCCCAGCTGTGTCACTGGTATTAGAAACCAGTGGAAACTGATGGAGGGTATTACAGCAACAGGAGCTGAGTAAAGAATCTGGCCATTTCAGAACTCCAATACATAAATATTTACAGAAGGTCGTGGGGCCACTGCCATTTTAACCTCCTGGTAGGATTGCAGGGATGGCTGGAAATAGATAGGGATTGTGATACAGGATTTGGATGATGAGTGAGGTTCTGGTGAAATTTGTCTGGGATTAGGTTAAGAATAAATGGGATATGAAGGTCATTATCGAGTGTTTTATTGGATACATAGAAGGGGGCATCGACTATTGATCGGAGGACTTCAGCCTGGAAGGATTGAATACTTTTGATGTTAGAAAGTTTTGCTGTCCCCCACAGTTCTGTTCCTTAGGTCCAAATAGGTTTCAGGATTGTCTTGTAGATAAGTAGTTTATTTTCGACTGAAAGTTGAGATTTTCTATTCATTAGTCTATATAACTGTCTGTATCATCTGTTAAGTTGTTGTCTTTCAAGTCTAGTATGTGGGTTCCATGTTAGTCTTTTATCTAGAATAAAGCCAAGATACTGGACTGTGTCGCACAGAGGAAGTGGTATGGAGTTGAAGTAGACTGGTGGTCAGGACGAAGGGTTCATATCGAAGGGTTCATTTACTTGGATTTGCCACTTATTGCACCAGTGTTCAATAAGAGAGAGGTGACTTTGCAAGTTTAAGGATACTGTTCCAGGATCTGGATTGGAAAATAAGATTGCTGTTTCATTAGTGAATGTTGCCAGGAGGGTTTTGGGATAAGTAGGAATATCAACAGTAAACAAAATGTAGAGGACGGAACCCAAGACGCTGCCTCGAGGAACTCCCGCCTCGATTGAATGACATTTGGAGGATTCTGTACCACATCAAACTTCAAAGGAGCGGTCAGAGAGGTAGGATCGGAGAATAAGATATAAGGAATGGGGTAGATAGTATATAAGCTTGAAGAGCAGTCCGGTGTGCCATACCCGGTCAAAAGCTTGTGCGATAGCCAGGAATGCTACCGAACAATACTTTTTGCTTTCTAGGGCTGAGGATAGATAGATAGAAAGTAAACTTTATTCTGGGACGAGGTCCCTTATGAATAACAGATATGAACAAAAAAATAAAAACTACATCTGGCCAAAAATTGCATTAGTCAATATTAAAGAATATATACATTATCTTCAGTGAAATTATATTAAAACAAGTAAAAATAACACCATTTTGAGAAAATTCAAAATAATAAAAACATTATTTAAATGAAAGGAAAACAAAATAAAATAAGCATGGGTTGATTTTTAAAATTAAAACTCAATCAATTTTAACAACCATTCACCTCAGTCAAAATCTGTTTCGCAATATTTAATTCATTGTACAACATCATTTTGGGATGTGAAAAGGAATTGGTAAAGATGATATTTAAATGAGGACAAGGAAGAGACATGGCGGATATCAGATGGCAAGGGATTCCAGAAGGCAGTGGATGGGGCAATAAAGGAATATTCAAAGGAATATTCAAACGTCTTAGTTCTATGGGAAGGGATATAAAGGTCGGAAACACGGGAACTTGTTTTCTGGGAGTGGACCTCGGGTTTAAACTGTAGGAGACTGTAGATGTAGGAAGGGTGTCTGGTGTTGATTGTTTGGAATAGGAAAGATCCAAGGAAATATTGTCTAAGGAAAGAAGGAAAGAGCCACTTTAACTCGTCGTAAAGGTGGTACACATGAGGCCGCCTCGATGTACCGAAGACAAATCTTAAGAACGTATTCATGAGTCGCTTCAATCTATCCTCGAGTACCATCGGGATGCCTCCGTACACCACACAGCCGTAGTCAAAGTGGGGGAAAATGAGAGAGGATACAAGGAGCTTGCGGATGGGTTGTGGGAGTAGGTGGCGGGAGCGATGAAATAGCTTAAGGGTACCTATTGACTTGCGGGAGATGAGGGCGATATGGGGTTTCCAGGAGAGGTTTTCGTCTATGGTGATTCCTAGGTTTTTAACAGAGAAACTGAATGTGACAGGATGATCGTTGATGACTAAAGGAGGAAGGAAGGAGATAGATTTAAGAATAGAACTGGAACCTATAATAATGGCCTGAGTTTTCATCGTATTTAGATTTAAATTATACAGACTTGCCCAGGCACTGATCCTATCTAGGTCTGCCTGAATATTGGTGAATGCGACTAGTAGCTCAGAAGGATGAAAGGAAAAATAGATTCGGGTGTCATCAGCGTATAAATGATGTGAACAGTGGTAGATAGATTTGGAAAGATCATTTATGTAGGAATTAAAAAGGAGAGGGGAAATGCTCGAACCTTGGGCCACTCCAGGATATATGGTCAACATGTTAGAGTCCTTGTTGGACACTGGAATGTTGGAAGCGAAATCCGAATTGGTGGGTAGGAAGGTATTGGAATTCTATTATGGGTAGGATTCTTTTCAGTATGATTTTTAAAAAAATTTTGAAAGGATTGGAAGTAGGCTAATTGGTCTATATGATGATGTATTATTGGAAGGTTTGCCTGGTTTCAGGAAAAGGACGATGGTGGAATGTTTCCATGAGAGAGGAAAATGGGTAGTTCTTAGGATGCAGTTGTATATGTATGTGAGGAACATGATTGCTTTGGGTGGTAGTTGATTAAGGATCTGTGGGGTTAGAAGGTCGTATCCAGGAGATTTGCGGGAAGATAGTTTTTGTAAATGATATTTGACCTCAGAAAGATGAACTGCTTTTGGTGGTAAAGAGAGTGGAATTGGTGAAGAAAGGAATTCTTCTACTTTTGCAGTGTGAGTCGGATGGGATTCGGGATGAGGTGTAAATGTACTGGAAAGGTGTTTGGCAAATTCCTCAGCTTTGTCTTCATCAGACACTGCCCAGGAGCCATCACGTCGACGAAGGGGATGGGAAATATTATGGGTTTTTGCGATTTTTTTGGTGATATTTCAGAGGGAATTGTACTGAGCGGAGAGCAGAGATGGGCATATTTATATTCAAAAATATAAATACGAATACCATTTATATTTATGGCACAAATGAATATAAATATGAATATATTTATATTCATAAAAAGTAATATGAATACAGAACATACGTATTCACGGCTGTAAATATAAATACAGCCGTATTCACGATTGTAAAAGTGAATACAGCTGTATTTACACCTGTAAAAGTGAATACGGCAGTATTCACGTTTACTAAAATGAATATGCTTAAATTTACAGAAGAAAAGAAACAAATATATAGCATTTCCAAGTCAATTTCAACCTTTTCCAAATCAAATTCAACCTTTTCCAAGTCAAATTAAACCTTTTCCATTTCAAATTCAACCTTTTCCAAGTCAAATTCAACCTTTTCCATTTCAAATTCAACTTTAGAATTTTTGTCAATTTTCGATTTTTTTCGAAATGAAGGTCACTTACTATATTATCGACGGCATAGCTTTTAAAAAATACAAAAAAAAATTTGATTACACAGTTGCATATCCATTTATTTTAACATTTTAGATTTTTTCAGTGTGATATTTCTATGTGATATTCAATTATTTCCAAGTCAAATTCAACCTTTTCCAAGTCAAATTCAACCTTTTCCAGATCAAATCAAACTTTTTCCAAGTCAATTCAACCATTTCCATTTCAAATTAAACCTTTTCCAATTCAAATTCAACCGTTTTCATTTCAAATTAATGTTTTAAGTTTTTGTAAATTTTATATATTTTTTTTAAATAATGGCCATCCCCTCCCCCCCCTCCAATATGAAAGTCTATTATTATGCTCTCCTAAGTAGAATTTTCACTTACGGATATCGATTTATTGTACCTATTCGGATTTCTTAGGGACTAGTATTATGCTGTCCTGTACCTAGTTTTGAAAATAACCTCCATTTTAAGATTACGTGACTGCGTTTCGAATCATTTAAGTTTTTTTGACAAATTCGATATGTGGGTGTATTTTTATGTTTCCGGAGCTGTAGATTTTGAAAATGACCTCCATTTTAAGATTAGGCCACCGCGTTTCGACTTAGTTGAGTTTTTCGGATATTTTTCATATGAGGGTGTATTTTTATGTTTCCGGAGCCGTAGATTTTGAA